TGTCACAGTCTATTTAAGAATTTATATCTTGGTCAGGTGTGATGGCACACATCTTTAATCCCAGCACTTGGGAAGCAGAGGTGGGTAGAGCTTTCTGAGTATGATATCAACTTGGTCTATATAAAGAATTTCAGGCCAGCCAGGGCTACAGAGACCTTGTCTCTCAAAAGAAAGACAATTGTCTTGCCAGTGTGGTGATTCACAGCTATAATCTCAGTAACCCAGGAGGCAGTGGGATCAGGAGATCAAGGCCATCTTAAGCCACATGAAATCCTATCTCAAAAACAACACCAAGGGGCTGGAGAGATGGCTCAGCAGTTAAGAGCCCTGGCTGCTCTTCCAGAGGTCCTGAGTTCAATTCCCAGCAACCACATGGTGGCTCACAACCATCTGTAATGAGATCTGGCACCCTCCTCTGTCGTGCGGGAATATATGGAGGCAGAATGTTGTATACATAATAAATAAATAAATCTTAAAAACAACACCAAAAGTTTAAGTTTATGTCTGAGATTTTCCTTCCCTAGTACACTGCCACTCCCCTTCTTTTTGGCTTTTTGAGATAGGCTTTTCTCAGTGTAGCCCTGGCTATTCTGGAACTTGCTCTGTAGACTGGAATAGCCTTAAACTCGGATCTTCCTGACTCTGCTTCCCAAATACTGGAACTAAAGGTGTGCATCACCATGCCTGTCTTGCACACTGACTTTTTGAGATAGAATTTTACTGTGTAGCCCTTGCTGGGCTTGATTTGCTATATATAGACCAGACTGATCACAGAAATCTTCCTATTTCTGCTTCCTGGGAACTGGGACTAAAAGTGTATATCACCTTATCTTGCAAAGTCTAGCTTCTTGAGCACATGGAATTTTACCACAGAAAAACTACCTGCCTCCTTTTTCACCAATACAAAGCTTGGAGCTGTTAGGCTCAAGTTATACTTATTTAACTTGGTTTTTGTTGTTCTATTAAAATGTGATGTAAGTAATAGTCTGCAATCCAGCGCCCTGTTTTATCACCCTCATCATTCTCTTCAATAGAGTCTTCTATTTTTATTTAACCAGTTATACCTTCTCTTATACATATATTTCACTTCACACACACACACACACACACACACACACACACACACGAGACAGTGTTGGGGATCCACATGCTAGACAAACATTCTACTATTGAGTTACTCTTCTAGCCTTGATTTCATTTAATTTTAAGTTATTTAATATTTGTTTTCTAAGAATTCCAGAAGGGGCCAGGCAGTGATGGTACACGCTTTTAATTCCAGCTCTTGGGAGACAGAGTCAGGCAGATCTCTGAGTTTGAGACCATCCTGGTCTACAAACTGAGTTCTAGTAAAGACAGTACTTGTTACACAGAGAAACCCTGTCTTGAAACCCCCACCCCCCAAAAATTCTAGAAGGGTACAAATGGTTCTTATATAACCACAACCAGCTCCTCCAGTTGTATAACCATATTTTTACACCTTTTATATCTATGTTTAAGGGCCACATAGTGTTCCACTAAGTGTGCATACCTTGGCTTACCTACCTATCATCTTTGTCTTGAACTTTTCAGCTGGTCTCAGCTTTTGCTGAAATATCCAAAGCTATAGTAGAGTAAAATTTTTTTCCTAGTCGTGTTTGGTCTTCTGCATTCTAGGCAAGTGTGTTACCATCGAGTCATACCCCTGGCCACTATGTTTTATGAATCTGCTCTTAAAATAGTGTTACTTCATTTTCTTAGGTTGAAGTTCTAAGTTGGAAATAGTAATTATATTCATGATTTTTTAAAATTTATTTTTATTTTTTGTGTGCATACGTAGTGTATGTATATAAGTGTTCATGTGTGAGGGTGTGTTTGTGCCATCCATGGTGTGCATAAGGTGGTCAAAGGACAACCTCAGGTATTAGTACCCATTTTCCACCTTGTTTGAGGCAGTTTCATTGTTTGCTACTGTGCTGCATACTCCAGGCTAGCGGGTCCAAGGGCTTCTGGAGAATTCTCCTGTCTGCCTCCCATCTTGCCATAGAAATGCTGAGATTACAGATGCATCATAGACACAATGGTATGCATCTAGCTTTTACCTGGATTCCCAGAATCTGAACTCAGGTCATCAGGCTTGAACAGTATAAGCTTTTACTCACTAAGCCAAAGACATCCCTTGTCTAAGGGATTTTGTGTATGGGAAACACTTAGCTAGTATTGTTATATTTCTTTTTATTCAAGTTTTTAAACTCTACATTTGCAGACAATTTAATTGAAACTTTGAGCACTGCTCCAAACACAGAAAAGTGAAATCTTAATTACTTGCTGAGATTCTTAGACCCTTATTGCAGTCAGGTAGTCAGATTTCATTGGTAATGTGTTTGGTTAGCACCTCCATATTTTTAATACATGATCTTATTTATACTTTACCTGGCACGATGATGAGTTCACCTGAAAGAAAAGGTCGTTTCCTCCTGCCACAGAGCAGGTACAGGGTTACTAATGGTGGTTGCTTAGCTAGAACTTTTGGGAGTGTGCTTCTGCTGCCTTGACCTTCTGAGGAGGCTGCTCTTAGGAGCCCAGGCTCACACACTACACTGTGGGGGTAGCCAAGACACCCTTGCGTGTTACCATCTGCTGCTCTTTTCTCCACCTTGGTATTCATCATGTTTGGGTCACAAGATGTTCTTTCTAGATTTGTTATGCATTTTGCAGTCTCAAGATGAGCATCTCCTGTAGCTCTTGGTAGCTGAGCTTTGCTCACTCGGCTGCTGTGTGCCATGTGTCCCACTGTGTTTCCAGAAGCTAACTTCTTTTCTTTTTCCTTTCTCTAGACAGGGTTTCTCTGTAGCTTTGGAACATGTCCTGGAACTCGCTCTGTAGACCAGGCTGACCCTGAACTCAAAGAGATCCTTCTGCCTCTGCCTCCGGAGTGCTGGGATTAAAGGTGTGCACCACTACTGCCCAGAAAGCATTGGCTTCTTTATGGTTCTGTATTTCCCTTTTCCTTCCTTGTTTATCTAGAAAGTAGTCATCCTTGTCTGTCCTAATTAACTCATACACTGACATACTGCCTTGTTTACATAAATTAACAATTAACCGTTCAGTCTACTTAACTCATAGAGTTATATTGTTAGACTTTAAAAAGTAAAATGGAAAAAAGAAAGAAACTATGTTTGTATCATTGTGAACTCATGGCCTTTTCTGAGGTTCATCATATTTTATCTGATCAGACAGCTTTCAGTTTTGAATGGGTCATGTTTGGTCAACCCCCCATGTGCTGCTGTCTTACAGAACAGGCAGGTGGTTTCAGAACCTGACTCCATGTACTTTTAAATTTTCTTTTATGTAGTGCTGGGAATTGAACCTAGGGCCTTACACATGCTAGGTAAGCACTGGGTTATATAAGTTCCCTAGAGTTCTTGAGTGAGGACTGTTAAGGACCAGCGCCTAAGTAACTTGGGTATACTGAATTCATTTCATGATGGTTGGGTGGAGTGTGTGGTGCGTGTACTTGAACAGTATGCAATCTACCATTTTCTCCTCCTCCTCTCCTTTGTTTTGTTTTGTTTTTCAAGACATGGTCTCTCTGTGTAGCCTTACTGTTGTGGAACTCACTCTGTGGACCAGGCTGGCCTTAAACTCAGAGATCTGTCTCCCTCTGTCTCTGGAGTGCTGGGATTAAAAGCGTGTACCACTGCCTGGCTCTATCCTTTTCTTTTAGCTTTTATTTTTCAATTTTTATTTATATTTTTTAAATAACAGGGTCTTACTGGTCTTGGACTTGACAATTAGACTTAAACTGGCTAGACAACACACTAGCAATTGCTTTCCCACTTTCCCAGCACTGAGATTAAAGGTGGACTACCAGGTTTGGCTTTTTTGTTGTTGTTTTTATTGATTTGGGGCAGAGGGCATGGAGGTACTAGTTATTGAATCCAGGACCTTATGCATGCCAGGCACCTGCCTGCTACTGAGCTATATCCCCAGTCCACATTTGCTTATTTGTTTTAATTCTGCAGATTGAATTTAGGTCCCGTGCTTTCAAATCAAGTAGTTTACTGAGTGAGCTAGCTATATCTTCCCAGTCTGTTATAGTCAGGATAGTCACAACTATGAGGATATACTAAGGACAGAGCTGAAGAGAATGTGTTTATGGATGTGGGTAAAATTTTTAAAATTTTTACTGCAGGTTTAGCCCTGAGTACTTAATTTCTTTCTCAGTGTGCCTGTTTCCCACTCCTACCCCACCTCTTTTTTGGGTGCAGGATCTTGGTATGTAACTCAGGCTGGCCCAGAAGCCATGATTTTTCTGCATGCTAGGGTTACAGGTGTGCACCACCACACATTGCTTATGCTTCAATTTTTTAATATTTATTTATTTATTTCTAATGTATACAACATTCCTTTCATGTATATCCGCATGCCAGAAGAAGACACCAGATCTCATTACAGATGGTTGTGAGCCACCATGTGGTTGCTGGGAATTGAACTCAGGACCTCTGGAAGAGCAGCCAGTGCTCTTAACCTCTGAGGCTATCTCTCCAGCCCTATGCTTCAATTTTTAACTGTGCTTCCTCTCATCTTTCTGTCTCATTGACAGTTGTTCTATCATCATTTTATTAACAGTTGCCAAATTGCTTTCCAGGAACTCTTTAATAGTAACATTAGCCATAATCATGAGTATTCTTGCTTTATCATAAATCTTGCCAGCATTGGGTGTCTCTGTATAAAGTGAACATACTCCAGAATTGCAGATGGACACTATTATATCTGTTTACCTTAGCCTGGCCCTGGGGTGGTTGAAGTAGTGCTAAGGGAGATGTGAGGACACGCCTTACCTGAGGATGTGAGCAAGGGAGAAGGAGGGAAAGTGGCTGCAGTGGATACCCAGAGTCAGACAGATGTGCTGCTCTGCCTTCAGCAGTATCATAATAAAGTGCTTGTATTTGGGCTTGTATTGGGCTCTACTTAGGACAAGAGAGCCCCTTGACTCTCACCTCTTTCCTCTGTGTTTGCAGTATGATGCTGTTCCCATTCAGTCCAGTGTGGTGCTATGTTCCTGCCCATCCCCATCAATGGTGAGGTCCCAGACTGAGTCCAGTTCGGCCCCTGGCATGCCTAGTGGTGTTACCAGGCAGGGACCCACCATGGATGGCACCACAGCCGAAGCCCGACCAAGTACCAACCCCTTGCAGCAGCACCCTGCCCAGCTGCCGCCACAACCTCGCAAGAAGCGGCCTGAAGACTTCAAGTTTGGGAAAATCCTTGGCGAGGGCTCTTTTTCGACAGTGAGTATGTGCCTCTGCTGCTGTTGCTTATTGAGTGGAGGATTATGTTGAGATCTCTGAGTATTGAGAACATCTGAGCAGGCATTGATCTCCCCAGGAGATGGTTTCATGCCCTTGTGGGTTGCGTTCTGTGAATGTCACTAGAGTCTTGGAGGGAGTGGGCTCCCTGAGTGGACTACCTGAAGAAAGCTTGCTTAAACTCTTTCTTTCTTTCTTTCTTTCTTTCTTTCTTTCTTTCTTTCTTTCTTTCTTCCTTCCTTCCTTCCTTCCTTCCTTCCTTCCTTCCTTCCTTCCTTCCTTCCTTCCTTTCTTTCTTCTCTTGTTTTGGTCAATATCTTTACTCCATATACTCAGGAGACTGAGGCAAAGGAGTTTAAACCTGGACGTTTCAAGGCCCCTTGGTAACATATCGAATGAATGTCTGTCTCAAAAACAAACAAAAGCAGCTGTTGATTCATGTTACTTTAAAACTACAGTTAATACAGCATGGGCATGTATGTTCTGTGTCTTCCAGTCTTACTGGAGGGGCCTTAGGAAGCCTTTAGTTCTTTAGGTTGAAAGTTAGTATCTTTTTGGAGACTTTTGGTAGCATTCAGTGACCTTTTTTATGTCTGGGTTTGTTTTTGTTTGTTTGTTTGTTTTCGTTTGCTTTAGAACCTAAACTATGACACTAAATATTTGCTGGAGAGTTATTCTACAGATTTTTTTTCTAACTCCCAGGCCAAGTGGGTATTTCTGCAGAGTGGTCCAGGGGTCACTCTCAATTCCAAACCACTGCCAATGAAACAGATTTCTGTGTTCCATTTCCAGTCTGAAATAGGCACTCCAGGGTAGTGCCAGAGGGACTAACTTTTAGAGAGTTCCTAAACAACCAGTTGTCTTATACCTGACCTTGTGAAGATGAAGAATCCATATGTGCAATTTGTTTCCTCTTCTTCTCTCTCTCTCTCTTTTTTTTTTTTTTTTTGAGACAAAGTCTCACTTTCTTGCCCTAACTAGCCCAGAACTTCCTATGTAGCTCAAGCTGGCCTTGAACTTACAGAAATTTGATTTGCCTCCTCTACCTCCTGAATGCACACATTAAAGATGAGTGTCACCAAGACTAGCTGAATTTTTTCTTAGCTTTATATATATAGTTGTGAAAGATTCTAAAATACAAAGAATATAAAATATAGCTTACTTATACTCCAAACATCTCATTTTAAATTAACTGAAATTTACTTTCACTGTAAGTAACAACTCTGATGTTAAGTTTGTTTATAGGATTGAGGCCTTATGAAAAAAAAGCCTTCAATTATGAAGATTGTTCTCTATGCCTTTGGAACTCACCATGCCTTACAGGAAGAGGAAACTGCTTTGAGATCCCTGGGAGTTGCACTCAGCTACAGATGATATTCTAGTGAAGTTCTTCCTTTTTTCAGTTTACTCCTTTATATTTTTTTCTCACCATCTTTCCTGGGTGGCACAGTCATCCTCCTTATTCATTGTCATTTTGAACTTATGCCATTAGGTACCTGGGAAAGCACTGCCAGCAGGAGACTCCTTCCTGGCTCTTGAAATCCGTAGTCCTGGATCTCAAATGAGGTGTTACACTGATTCATCTCTCTATTCCTGAAATAGCAAACACTTAAATTAGATTTCCAGGGGAGGAATAAAGGGCATACGGTTAGCCAGATTGAGCAGGATATTCACTTGGCAGAGCTTGAAGCTGGTGCTAGAGAGCAGACCTGCTCCAAAGCACACTATCACATCCAAGATAGTAATGACATCACTCCTGGTGACAGGGAGCAACATGTCCCTTGCAATTCTTTAGAAGACTCTCTCTGTTCTGCAGGAAACCTGCTTATGAAATGCTAAGTTTAGAAACCAGCTCACAAACTAGGCATGATGGCACATGCTTTTAATCCCGGCACTCAGCAGGATAAAACAGGTGGATCTCTATGAGTTCAAGGCCAATCTGGACTACATAGTGAGCTGCAGGCTAGCCAAGGCTATATAATGAACCCTGTCCCCCCAAAACAAATAAATAATTCCCTCCTGAGAATGGATTCCAGTAAACCAAAGTACTCTCCAACAACTCCTCCTTTCCTTTTCATACATAGAAAGTTAATCATGCATGTTCATGAAGGAATGTAAATATATAGTCTCCATTCCTAAGGGGAAATACACTACTCCAGCCTACTCCCCCCACCCTAGTGACTGTGAGTCATGTGTATACAGCATATTTTTTCAGAAAGTTCTTTGAGATCTTTCTACTTAAATACTTTGAATCCTGCCTTGTTCCTGATGGCTGTGGGCATATCATAACACGGTTTTGGGACTGGGTCTACAGAGTTCTGTCTCAGGTGACCCTTTCCTATAGTTATTTTCCACCAGGCTCAGTGATTTCTTGAGGCATGTTTCATTTGCTCTTTGATTCTTGGTCTATCATTGCAGGTGTCTAAAAACCACATCGATTTGCATTTATCAGCCATGTTGGGGCAAAAGCATCTTTGGCAAAGCTGCCCCTCCCTAAACCTTGGGCCTGTCAGCTCCTTTTGGTCTAGTGCTTCGGGTGTGCCCAGAGTTTGCTGGTTTTCTATCCCTGAAGCAGAATCTGACAGGCAGAGGTGTGGTCTGTTTGAAAAGCATTCTGTAAAGAGGGTTTGTTCTGTACTATTTTAGTTCTTGGTACACAGTAGAGCCATAGCTGTGTTCGTGCTATTAAATGAGATATATGACAGCAATTATTTGGAGAAGCCTAAGTCAAAGGCAGCTTTTTACCGGGACCTATATTGGAAAGTCATATTCTCTCTACTCTTTCTGTCTGCCTGTCTTTCTTTTTTTTTTTTTTTAGTTGTTGTTGTTTTGGTTTTCTCAAGACAGGGTTTCTTTGTGTAACAGCTCTGGCTGTCCTGGAATTGTTTTGTTTTTTAAGATAGGGTTTCTCTATGTAACCCTAGCTATCCTGGAACTTGCTCTGTAGGCCACGCTGGCCTCAGACTCAAGAGATCCACCTGCCTCTGTCCCCTAGTTACTGGGATTAAAGTCATGCACCACCACTGCCGAGATGAAAAGATATTTTGTTTGTTTGTTTGTTTTGTTTTGTTTTTGCTTTTTTTTGTTTTTCAAGTCCAGTTTTCTGTGTATAACATCCCTGGGTGTCCTGGAACTTACTTTTTAGACCAGACTGGCCTTGAACTCACAGAGATCTACCTTACAAGTAGTGGGATTAAAGGTATTCTTGAAGTTATTTTTCTAAAGAAATTTTCAGTACCCACTTGTGGTATTTGGACTTGTCAATCAATAATTTTTTTTTTGTTTGTTTGTGAAGGGGGTGTTGAAACAGGTTCTTACTGTGTAACAGGGTCGCCTGGAGCTTGGAATCCTCCTACCTCTGGCTTCTGACTGAGTGTGCAGATTATAGGTGTGCACTGTTGGTTCTTAAATTTATGCTTTGACTATACCATGAGAACTTCTGGCAGCTAACTGATTATGAACATTTCAAAATGATGGCACAATTACTGTTTACCACTTAATGTTTGCTGTCATGTTACTTTTTTTTTTTTTAAGAATATTAACACAGACAGTGGCTTTCTGATGTGTTTGTTAGTGCAGGATCCAATGTAATCTCAAGTTGTATGTATGGACTGGACAGCTTGTGTAGGGTGACATTGACTTACTGACTCATTCATTATTACACTGTGTTTTTCCCCCCCAAACCAGGTTGTTCTGGCCCGAGAACTGGCCACTTCCAGAGAATATGCTAGTAAGTACTAACTCCAGTGAGCTGTGTGTCTGGGGTTCAGGGGCAGTGCTACTTTTGTACATATGGCAGCCCGGGTAGTGGTAGGTCTGTGCTGTTTTCAGTCTTATGACAAAGGTTAGTCTTCTAGACCATGAAAGCTTGAGTGGGTGGTTTTGGGAAAACTACAGTTTATGTCAGTTACCTTTATAAATTTACTATTTTTCACATTTTCTTAAGTTAAAATTCTGGAGAAACGTCACATTATAAAAGAGAACAAAGTCCCGTACGTAACTAGAGAGAGAGATGTGATGTCACGCCTGGATCACCCATTCTTTGTGAAACTTTACTTTACATTTCAGGACGACGAAAAGTTGTGTATCCTTTGCATGGTCAGTGATGTCTGAAAACCACCTTGTGTTTTAGATTAGTGACTACGTTGTTTGTTCCTTGAAAGGAAAGGGCACAGCATGGATCCTTGTGGAAACTAATATCCGTGGAGGCAACAGATGGTACCAGCACACGGCTGAGGCGCTTACTAATGTGCCATCTCCGAAGGGGAAACCTTCCCACAGTGTTGGTGTTTATCGATAAATATTGTACCTAATGGATTGCTGTTTTAGCCGGAGTTGCTGGACATCGATGCAGAAATGTCCCCTCATTCCTTTAGCCAATGTTCTGGAGTGTCTGTTAGGTATTATTGACTCCTGCTTTTGAAAACTGAGGAGCTGAGAGGAAAAATAATTTTGGGCCTTCTCAGGCTCCTAGAGTTGGCATCAACTTCTCCATACCCTCTTCCTTTCTGAGTTTGGTTAGAAGGACAACTTGACTGGGCCTTTGAGAAATTCGAGAACCCAGAGTGCTCTGCAGCTCTGTCTTCTGTGCTTGCTCAGCCCCTCCAACTCCTTAGGGTTGTTTGAACTGCCTCTCCAGCAGTTCTCCTTGTGTGTATGTTCAGCATTGTTTGTCCACATTCTTCTTCTTCTTTTCTTTTTAAATTTATTTATTTATTTATTATGCTTACAATATTCTGTCTGTGTGTCTGCCTGCAGGCCAGAAGAGGGAATCAGATCTCATTTTAGATTGTTGTGAGCCACCATGTGGTTGTTGGGAATTGAACTCAGGACCTTTGGAAGAGCAGGCAATGCTCTTAACCACTGAGCCATCTCTCCAGCCCCTCCTCCTCTTCTTCTCTCTACTTTTTATTTATGTACTCATTGCTTTTAAAAAAATTTTATCTATCTATCTATCTATCTATCTATCTATCTATCTATCTATTTTGAGACAAGGTTTCTCTACATAGCTCTGGTTGTCCTGAAACTTAATTTGTAGACCAGATTGGCCTCATGCTCATCAAGATCTTTCTGCCTCTGCCTCCCTAGTGCTGGGATTAAAGGCATGCTCCACCACACCTACCATCTACTTCCACTTTTGATGACAGCTCTAGCTACTTCTGCTGGATGCATCTGCTTGTGCTGCCTGGGGCAGCTAGTTCTTTAGAGATTTGTTTAGTCCACAATTCACAGGAGGCTGAATGTCCTGATGGTTTGCATGGTACATGGTGTAGCTTTGTAGTAAGTACATAGTGGATGGTGGACATCGTGTGAAGCGGGATCACATCTCAAGCCAGGAGGCAGAGTAAGTAGGTGTGATTGGACTTGCTTCTTTTTTGGGAGAATTTCCAGTTCCAGTGAGTTTCAGGAGCCCAGTACCCCAAAGAAATGCTGTAAACCCTACTTCTTAAAGATTCCCCCACCTCACAGTCCTACCACCTGGAGACCAAGCCCTAGTCACATGCATCCTTGAGGAGACACTGTGGATAGCCAAGATAGAATCACCCATGCTTGACTTCATCTACTAGGGTTACAGTGATAGATCAGAGCTTAGAAGTCGGGCCAGAATGTCCTTGCATGGTGATTTCTAAATGATACTGGCCACCAGTCCAGGTGGAAAGAACTCTAGATCTTTGTCTAATGGCACATACTGTTCTTGCTCTAAGACCTAGAAGGTTGTAATGACTCTCCTACCTCCCACGAGAATGAGATCCGGTAGCTTCTCCCTTATTGATAATCCTCACTATACATTGTATTGAGAAAGAAAAATGAAACTTTATGCATGAAGAAATGCCCAGATATGACACTGTCCTTCATTTAGTCATAATTTCAAGGGGTGGAGAGGAACTAGTCCTTGTCTATTCACTTTTCGTTACCCTCGAGAGACTCAGGATGAACTCACACCCCTTCAGGACAAGTGAGATGAAGGAGAACCTAGGGACACTTCTGCTATAGACTGGGAACAGACAGATAGCTCACTCAGGAACTACTCAGGGTTCTTCATTAGATTTTACTGTAGCAGCCTTGGAAAGTGAGTCCAGAGGCTTGGTCAAGTGTAAGGTTTCCCTATGTTGGTGTAGTCCTGGCTTGATCAGAACCAATGGGGGAACCTTCCTCTTCACACACAGATGAAGACCAAAGAGTTCTTAGACATAAGTTCTGTCTACCCCCATCACCTTTAATCTTCCACCAGACCAGTCTGCCTGCTTGTCTTCATTATGTCTCATTTGCAGCATGAAGTCAGGACCACAAGACTGGGTTTTAGTCCTGTCCATTATTTGCTTTGTGAACTTGAGTCAGTTGCTTAATCTCTTGACCAGGTTCCTCCTTTGCAAATTGCACACATTGGGCTATTGAGCTCCCTGATTAGGCAATTGGTTGTGCCTGCCCTCACAGGGGCTCACCCAGTCTGTGAGAGTTTTTGCAGCCCTGGAGCACTGACTATGACCAAGGGGGTGGAGAATGTTCTTAGGATGCCCACTAGATTGTTAAAGTCTAAAAGAACATTCTGGAATGTCAGGCTGGAATTGGTGGCTCCATGGTATGTTTTAGGGTTTTATTTACTGATGTGATAAAACAAACAACTTGGGAAATCGTGGCATTTCCCTTGTATTTTAATAAATAAAACTTGCCTGAGGATCAGAAAAGTAAAAGCTACATTGGCCAGGTAGCAATGACACACATTTTTAATCCCAGTAGCCACACTAACTGCCATAGAAACCAGGCGGTAGTGGTGCATGCCTTTAATCCCAAAAATAGAGAGGATTATAAAACAGGAGGACACAACTCTCAAGTGCAGTCTCATTCTGAGATTCCTGGAGGCAGGATCACCATTGCCGACTGAGGTTGAGGTAAGAGCCAGTGACTGGCTGTTTTGCTTTTTGGGTCTTAAGGTTGAACCCCAATTTCTCTCTCTAAGCTTTTGTTAATCGTGCTTCATTTGGGAAGAAAATGGTTTATTTCAGCTTAGAGTTCCACATCAGAGTCTTATCACTGAGGGATGTCAGAGCAGTAAATTAGGGCAGGAATCTCAAGACAGGAGCTGTTGCAGAAGTAAGTAAGTGCTGCTTACTAGCTTGCTCCCATGACTTTTTCAGTCTGTTTTATTGTACAACTCAGGATTACCTTCCCAGGAATGGTACCACCCACAATGGGCAGGACCTATCCACACCAATCGCTAATTAAGAAAATGTACTACGGTCTTACCTACAGGCAAATCTTAGGAAGGCAGTTTCTTAATTGAAAATTTCTTTCCAGATGACTCTGACAGAGACCTGCCCAGCTGCATCCTGTCTACTCCCTCAAAAAGGAGACTGATACCGTCCATGTCTTAGCTAGTTTTATGTCAATTTGACACAAAGCATAGGTAGTCAGAGATGGGCCTGGCTGGGAGCATCTGTACCAGCTTTGGTTGTAGTCCTGTCTCTTCTTGGTTTATTTTCTTCTCTAGAGTCTCAGGCTCCCTCCTTGGTGGTCGACAGGAATGCCTTGACAGACAAAAGCCAGAACGGAGCAAGAAGTTCATCTTGGCTTCTTTTATGAACTTCAAACTTGGATTTGGACTGCTGCTTAGTTTAGTCAGCATTCGGGCCCTTGTGTCCCAGGCTGCCAGGGAGGTGTGGTATCTGGAGATTTCCAGTAAGAAGCACAAATGTTTGGTGCTTTGGAGGAAAACAGTCATTTGGAACTGTTTCTTGTCAGCATTCTGTCCCCCTTTGAAGAAAAATCATAAGCAGAACATGGGGGCGGGAGGTGTGTGGGAAGGAGAGGCTGACTGTTTCTCATCTCTCCAGCAGGTATTTCTCAAATAGATCAAATGAATCGGAAAATTAAAATTGTTATAAAGCATGTCACTTTTATGCACAGGATTGTTAGCATAGCCAGTGGAAGGCAGCAAGTTCAGGCAAGAGCCATGGTGTAGCCACTCCGTTCTGTTAGGATGCCGTTTTCAGAACTGTGTTCTCCTGCACTTTAAAGCTGTCCACAAGTTGTTAGTGCCTTGGCCATGGTCAATTGGTCCAACAGCCATCTAGAAGCTTCCTTTCATGGGCCACAGAGGCCTTTGAGGACCATGTGTCTAGAAGGGCACCTGGACGGAGAGGTGCTGTCCATGTTTTTTCAGGGACTGTCATTGTCTTCTTAGAAATTCTGTGCTGACACCTGGTCTTGGAGCATAGGTACCTTCAATTTGCACTTGATGAAAAGAAAGTTCTTATGGGGCTTTTAAGGTTAATTTTTAGAAAACAACAACAACAACAACAACATATTTTTCCATTCTTCCTTAACTGCCAATATTCAGATTTTGGCCTTAGTTATGCCAAAAATGGAGAGTTACTTAAATACATCCGCAAAATCGGTTCATTTGATGAAACCTGTACTCGCTTTTACACGGCTGAGATTGTGTCTGCTTTAGAGTACTTGCACGGAAAGGGCATCATTCACAGGTAATGGACACTGCTCCAGATGGTGTGTACAGCATAGTCCCTGTAATGAATGATAGGGGACACTGACTCTGAGGTGCACAGATAACTCACACCAGCTCTCTGGGGTCAGCGTTGGCTGACTTTATAAAAGTTATGATGTAGGTATTTCCAGGTGATGGCTCACTTGAGAAAGCTGAAAACAGGCTGGAAATGAAAGGAATCTGCACTTCAAAGTCTCATGTCTAAGTCATCAGTTCAACTTGGGTGAGGTGTCTTCCTGTGACACTAGCAGATCAGATATCTGGCACTTTTTATTTTGTCAGCTGTATAGCTTTTTTTTTTTATTAAAAAAAAGGACTATGTTTATTACTTCCATGGTGTTATAGTTACTTTATAAAACATCTTTTTTCTTTTTTTTTTCTTTTTTTTTATTAAAAATTTCCACCTCCTCCCCTCCTCCATTTTCCTCCAATTCCGGTCACATTTTTCATTTCTTCATTTTGATAAAGGCAAATTAGAACTGTGATTTATGAACTAAAATAAAAGTTAAATAAAATGTTACTAAAAATGGTAGATGAAGCAGAGAGACCATGGAAGCGGAGGTGTTAAGATGTTTGTAACAACTCACCTGCTTGAAGATAAAAGTAATACAGTTATAAAATGATTTGGGAATACCTATATTCTATGCTGTTGATACTTGTTTAATATGAACTTTGGGATTGTATTCTTGGTTTTTAGTCTGTAAAGGAAAAGATTCATCCCTTTATTGTGTTTCCATCAAAATGTACAGTATATGATAATTTTGCTACTTTTAAACATTTTATCTTAAAGGCAAAATTCTACTTTTACAGAGACCTTAAACCAGAAAACATTTTGTTAAATGAAGACATGCACATCCAGATCACAGATTTTGGAACAGCAAAAGTGTTATCCCCAGAGAGCAAACAAGGTATGTTTGCTTGATTTTTCAGTAGAGCCTTGTTCTAGGCTTGATGCCAAGAGCAACTTTGAGCAACATGTTCCATTGTATGATTATTACCGCTAATACAGAGATTCCTTTTGACGCCTCAAAGTGTGTGAAATCTAGTAGTAGATAAGGACCAAAGATCGCTCTGCTAGTTCTTGCTCCATAGAACATATGTCAGGTCACTTGTGAACTAAGGGTGGAGTTGGTGGCAGCTATATGTACTACAGGTGATACTTTCAGAGCACATCCTTGGGGACTCTATTACCTTCTTCTCACCCATCCTTCAGTCTTTCCATCTGATGTATATAGCTGCCTGTGACGGCCCATGCATCCTCAGGAAGATTCTAGGAAAATTATATGAGCAAGGGCTAATTTTGCCTATTTATTTCACGTTCTGTTCAGTGTTAGCACATAGCCTTGGATCATACTGTGACACCTTTACTGTCGGGGTCGTGAGGGGGGGGGCTGCTGAGACTCCATTTGGGCCAGAAAAGTAGAATGGCTTGTTGCCCTTCTGCTGCTAACATCCTTAGTGGATAGAAACTGCCCACTTCAGAAATATAAAAAAGAACAACTAGACTTTTAAGGACTCTACCACAGCATTGAGTTGAGACAATAACCCACTGATGATGCTGTCTGGGGGAGGGAAAGCTGCCTGGTAGGTTAATAATGATCTTGCAAAGGGTCCTTGTTTTCGAGATGCATGTGACTCATTTTGAGCTGTGTGACCTTTTTGCCTATGCTTGGGGTCTCAGTGAGAGGGAGAGACTATTAAGGAAGGCACTGTGGGATATGGTTGGTCACAGGCTTGGAACACAGTTGTTTTAGTGGAAGGAAGAGTCTGATAAGCACTTTGCAGTGTGTAGTTTTATGACTATGGCTACCTTTTGGAAAAGACGATGCAAGAGCAAAGTGTAGTAGGCTTATGGCCTGTTTCTACAAACAGCAAGCCAATACATGGGAACCAGAGAGGATTACAGCTGGGACTGAAATAGAGTCTAAGTAAGAAAACAAGTTTTGTTCACATGGTGCTGTAGGAGATGGCCAGCTGGAACCTTGCATTTCCTTCTGTGTGCTGTTCCCACACATGTTCTTTGTCAGATTTTATATGTTCTTTGCTTCTGTACAGTCCTTCTGTGCTGGTGACATACCTATACTACTTTCTGGGGATAACAAGCCTTGTCTTTGAAGAAAGAGACTTCCTTAGGTGGTGTAGTATTGTGCCCTTGCTGCCCCTTCTGTCATTGCTAAACCTGATACCTGACTGACTCATTCCAAGTCAGTAGTAGTTATCTTTCTGTCCAACAATGCTGATTTTATAGACTTGGTATAACCTTATATTATAGCCTTGAACATTGTCCATTTTAAAGTTACACAAGATAACTACTGTAATAGTTTGTTCTGTCCCTTTAAGAGACAAGCCCCACCCACTCCCCTCTCTGCTGAGGCAGGCCTATGCTTGCAACCTGAGTCTCTTTCTTTTCTGTCTCCCTCTTGAAGAGGCAGCTTCTGCCTCTCCTCACTTTCCCCTTTCCCCCCTTCTTTCTCTCTCTCTCTGTCTCCCTCTCTCTCTCTGCTCTTCTCCTCCCCCTTCCCTTCCATAACCCACTAAATAAATATCCAACTTCACTCTGCATGGCATGCCTATTCATATCTCTGGCCTCCCCGGGACCAGCTGCCTTCAGAGACCTGCAGTGTGGTCTTGTGTCCATCTGTCTGTCTCTCCTTGCGGCCTGCTGCAGCCACTTGAGGAACTGCACTGTCCCTGCCTGGGACTGACTGCTCTCGGGACCCGCTGTTCACTGCCTGCTGCTACATGGCCCACTGCTGCCACTCAGGGACCTGCACCAGTCCCTTCCTAGAACTGGCTGGAACCTGCAGTGTTTCTGCTGCTGCAGCTGCCAGGGATCCTGCAGCATTTTTATTAATCCATTACAGCCACCCCATCTCTTAACTCTTTCTTGTGAAGTCTGTTTTCCCATCATGCCTGTGCGGGAAGCTAGAATATGGAGCTAGAATGTGGCTGTGATCCTGAATCAGCCTTAAGAACTGTACAGCTGGGCTGTGCTTTGAACATGTCTTTCTTTGTGTAGATTTTCTTCAGAATCTGATAATTCAGCATAGGTCTAAACTTACTGCTTTGTAGTTACTTTTTAAAGTATAAAAGTGAGCTGGGCAGTGGTGGTGCACATCTTTCATCCCAGCACTTGGGGAACAAAGACAGGCAGATCCCTGAGTTCGAGGCCAGCCTGGTCTACAAGAGCTAGTTCCAGGACAGGCACCAAAGCTACAGAGAAACCCTGACTTGAAAAGCAAATAAACAAACAAAAAACAAAACAGAAAAGTATAAAAATGTAGCCCTGCTGTATCTGCCACATGGAAGCTGAGTTCTTATGTTCCTCAAGGGCCTGGAGTGAATGGGATGTGGACGCCTATATGGGTTCAAAGCATCTGGTGTCTACTCTGTGGCTTGCAGATGAGTGTCTCGTGGGCCAGAACTATAAGCAGTGGAATGTAGACAGTCCCTGGGCTGGAGCTAAGTCTTTTTGCTCTAGTATCTTGAATGCTCAAGCTAGTGTTGACTGAAAAGAGGATGGTCTCTGATCTGCAGCTGTTTATTTGTGCCCGCTGTGTATTCAGTGGGTATTTAGATGCCACAGGCCCAACAGTGAGTACCACAGACAGGACCTCTATCCTTACATTGCTTTGCTCTAGTGGCAAAATGATGAATGAATGTGATGAGTACCTCCTACATCTGGTTGTTAGGTAGGAGGTGTCAGGTGGATAGAATATAGCAGGTATCCTTAGTAGGGTCCTTTGGTTGCTCAGTCTAGTCCAGGTGACCAGCTGAGCTGACAACCACCTCCCATCTGCTATAGTTAGATATTGATACTCTGAAGAATACACAGGAGAGCCAGTGTGGTTGGGGGCCAAGGATTGCATTTTCAAGTATGACCTTTTCTTTTTTTCCTCCCCTACTTAGCCAGGGCCAACTCATTTGTAGGAACAGCACAGTATGTTTCTCCAGAGCTGCTCACAGAGAAGTCGGCATGTAAGAGGTAACCTGTTTTTAATATAACTGCCCTTCCCTTTTCTCTGTGATATTACTATTTGAAAGAGAGTCTTTAGTAGGTCTTAAATAGCTAAGTATGAGCCTGGTACAGTGATAAATCCCTTATAATCCCAAAGGATGAATTAGGAGAATCATGATTACAAATCTAGTTAGCGATACATGGTGAAACCTTGTCTCAAAGCAAACAAAAATGGTTGGGCATGGTGGTTCATGCCTTTAATCCTAATGCTCAGGGTCAGAGGCAGGTAGATCTCTGAGTTCACAGCCGTCTTAGTCTATATAATAAGTTCCCAGACCAGCTAGGGCTGCATAGTGACACTCAAAGAAGTTAGTCTTCTGCTTTTTTAAAACATGTACTTGTCTTTTGCTATGTATACATTCTGTTTTTATAATTGATAATTCCTTGCTGGTTGTTGATTTTGGTGTAGGAAGCTTCATTTAGAAAAGCTGTCCAGTGAGTAAGTGTGGTTGCCATGCCACAGGATTACAACAGGCTTGTGCTTATTGTAGTGCAATGGGTTCTGTGGATGTGGATAGAAGCCCTGGAGAGACAGAAGGAAGAAATTTCGATCCCAGGGCATATAGCCATGGGTTAGCCTTGAGGTTGTTTGAGAGATGCAGCTTAATCTTCTTGTAGGCCTCAGTCATGCATATCAGAAACAAGGAGTATGTAGAATGATGTAGAGACTGGCACTGGAACAGTTTTTTTTATTGTTTTTTGTTTGTTTTTAATGTGTGTGGGGTTTTGCCCATGTGTATGTCTGTGTACCGTGGGCATGTGTGATATCCCTGGAGACCGGAGGAGGATGTCAGATACCCTGAAACTGGAGTTATGGATGGTTGTAAACCACCATGTAAGGTTTAGGGAGTGGAACTTGGGTCCTCTAGAAGAAATCAGTACTCTTAACCACTGAGTCATCTCTCCCAGCTTCAAGGGGTAGGGATCCACTTACTAATTTATTTATTTATATATTCATCTCTCTATTTATTTATTTAAAAAAATCAGATGTTAGAAAATAAAGAAGGATCATTCTGGAGGGAGTCAATGGCCTGCGGCCATGCCAGTTCAAGGCACTGTCTTAGAGACTAAGGAGCCACATTAGGATATGGATTCAAGGTTTGGAGAGTAGGTTCAGGAGACAGGGTCTGTTCCTTATGACTGGGTGCTTCTCGTCTTGCGGTAAACTGCTTTGTATCTGGTTTAGCCCCAGCTGCCTGGCCTTTTGTGAGTTCTGAACATAGGTATTCTACTCTAGCAGGTTGCAAGGGGTCATCTGTGTAAATGAATGTATGAATCTGGTTAGGTAGTGCTGACAACTTTGGAAAATCTAGAGGTGTACCCAAAGGGACAAACAATTGCATCAGAATTTGAGTTCTTAACTTGGGCCAGACGTTGTACTAGGTCAGATCTTTTGGTTTTGTTTCTTTCTTTCTTTCTTTTTTTAAATCTACTTATATATTATGTATACAGTATTCTTGGTATTCTGTCTGCATGTATGCCTACAGGCCAGAAGAGGGTGCCAGATCTCATTACAGATGGTTGTGAGCCACCATGTGGTTGCTGGGAACTGAACTCAGGACCTTCAAAAGGGCAGGCAGTGCACTTAACCACCGAGCCATCTCTCCAGCCCTTCTTTGTTGTTTTTTTAGTATGTATTAATATTTGCCTCTATGTTTGTATGTTTATCATATATGTACCCAGTGCTTGCAAAAGGGCAGAGAAGACTGAAATTATAATTGTGACCTGCCATTGCGGGTACTGAGAACTGAATGTGGGTCTTCTGCAAGAGTAGCAAGTCCTCTTAACCACTGAGCTATCTCTCCAGCCCTTAAGCTTTTTAACTGTTGCAGCTTGGGGTAGGGTAAGTTGGCTTATAATGGATAAAGGCCAGGGATACCATTTAGCATAGTTTAATGTGAAGATGATCTGGCCAGTGTCAGCAGTGTTAAGTGATGGGTGCTATTTTCCAGTTTTTCAGTATATATTGTTCCTGAAGAAGGCTTTTCTTACTTTGTTGAACTGTCATGTTCCATGGGTGGTGCTGATTTGCCTATATATACCCTGGGGATCGTATAGGCCCTTGACCTCAGGGTTATTACCCTCTCATCACTCTGATAAAACAGACAGAGCTGGAACTCTGGAGTTCCTGCTTCAAGTTTTCAAGACTTGCCCCATCTGAGACTTTAGAAAGCCTTGATAGGCTGCTTCCAGAGCTGAATGCAAATGACAGAATGTTAAGATAGTCCACAGAGGAGAAGCTACCCAAGCCCTTACTGCTTTAGTTCCCATATTCTAGAGGAGACCTGAGAGGCCTAGGGATTGGTCTTACCCTGGCCCTCTTCTGCCTCTTTGTAGCTACTTTGCTGCTTGTTTTTTTTTTTTTTCTTCTCTCACTATTTTACCTAGAGAAAGCACTAAAGAAAACCAATGTTAGAAAATAGTAGCTAGGTGTCAGAGTGAGACAAGGACATGTGTAGAAGTTTTTAACTTGCAATAGTTATCTTTGGGGGAGTATGGAGGGAGACTGAACCATTTGGTCGTTGTTCCTGCCAAGAATAAAACCATAGAAGATGCCTGGAAAAGCAAATTCAAACTTCCTACATACCTGGTCATAAGGGATAGGAGTACATTGGAAGCTGAAGGTAGGGTGGTATAGACAGAGACAGTAAAATGAGCCTTATTTGTCATTTAAATTACACCAATACCATTTTTTCTTTGTATTTTCCCTACCTTAAAGTTCAGACCTTTGGGCTCTTGGATGTATAATCTATCAACTTGTGGCAGGACTTCCACCGTTCAGAGCCGGGTAAGAGGGATTCTGTACATCTCAGGCTTCTGAGTCTATCACAGCATACCCCACTACCAACAACTACTGGGAGATCTGGACAAAGGTTGTACCCAGTGGGGAGAAACTTCCACCATAACTTATGAATATGTGGTGCTTGGGGATTTTAGTAAGAGCTGTCCTGGGAGGTGAGGGTGATGTTGGGTTGTTCTGTAAAAGTAAAGTAAACCTAGTACTAGAGATTTGACTCTTGCTCAAATAACATTTTTTTTAAATTCACAGAAATGAATATCTTATATTTCAGAAGATTATTAAGCTGGAATATGATTTCCCAGAGAAATTCTTTCCTAAGGCAAGAGATCTTGTGGAAAAACTCTTGGTAAGTATTTTGAATCTTCTGTGATGAGGAATCATCATTGCTATCCCCTGACTTTCGTTGCACTCATGGGTATCCTTTTGAAAAATGTGTTTAAGGTAGACAGTGCTATAGATAGTTAAACATTTTTATTTCATCTCATTATAATCTCTTTCACTTTCCTAGTACCTGATTCTTAATAAGAGAGGAAGTTACTATATTATTTTGCATGTGTTCATTAACATCACATTTTAAGTGATTGTCACTGAGTGACTAGGATTATCCCAGTGGCAGATGGCTGTTAATCCTGCTTCATTAACATCTGCCCAAGTCAACTTTAGAGTGTAAGCTACATGAAGGCTTTAAAGATCAACCTGAGTAACAAGGCAGAGAGAAAGATGTGCTGTTTTATGTTTAGAAACAGGATCTCTGCCCTGGAGCTTTTCATCCTGACCTCCTTCCTTCCTAATTCTTTGGGAATCAGGGTAGGCCCCAGGTTGCTTCTTCCCAGCCATCCTTCTGGGTGCTTTTCCTTCATTGCCCTCAGTAGGGAGTGGGCTTAATTTAACCTTGAAGGCATAGGGGTGACTGTGCCACAGCCTTTGAGAGATATGATATTCTACCCAGTGAGAGCCGGATTGTTCATTCTCTTTGTTCTTAGAGACACTCAGTTAATTTTTTCTTTGTATTAGAATACATTTATTTATCTCTGAGACAGAGTATTTCTGTGTAGCCCAAGTTGGCTTAAAATGTTTGACAGCCTTCTTGCTTAGCCTGAGTGCCAGTATTATAGTTATACACCACCATGCCTCGCTTTTTTAGTTAGCATTTTTTATTTTTTGAAAGACCCCCCCCCCCCCCGAACTTGGTTGGTGGACGAGGCTGACCTTAACTTACAGAGATCTGCCTGTCTCTGCCTCTCAAGTGCTGGGATTAAAGTGTGGACTATCATACCCACCTGGCAGCATTTTTGCTTTCTTTTTTTTTTAAAAATATTTATTTATTTATTATGTATACAATATTCTGTCTTTGTGTATGCCTGCAGGCCAGAAGAGGGCACCAGACCCCATTACAGATGGTTGTGAGCCACCATGTGGTTGCTGGGAATTGAACTCAGGACCTTTGGAAGAGCAGGCAATGCTCTTAACTTCTGAGCCATCTCTCCAGCCCGCATTTTTGCTTTCAATAGTGAGCATTTCTTTCTCTGTCTCTGTCTCTTTCTCTCTTGTTTTTCGAGACAGGGTTTCTCGGTAGCTATGGAGCCAGTTCTGGAGCTCACTCTGTAGATCAGACTGGTCTTGAACTCACAGAGATCTGCCTGCCACTGCCTTTCAAGTCTGTCTCTTTTTTTAAACAATATTTTTATCCTTTGAGAATTTCAGACATTGGGTTTTCAACATATACACTCCCCAGTTCCTTTGATTATCACCTTCCCAGCTTTGGAATTTCTTCTTCACATGCAGTTTGTACTACCCAGCTAGTCTTGGGAGTAGAGCCTGCCCCAGTGTGTGGTCAGCTTACCAGAGCTCACATCATCTTATAACATTTTTAGCTGCAGGCTTTAAAAAGATGCTTGCTGCCGCCCTCTATTTTGAGGTTGAGATTTGTTTTACCTGTGGGAAGAAAAGGGCAGAGCCTTGGGTTGAGGTAAGAGTCCTGGTCAATCTTGGCTTTTTCCTCAATGGTATGGACCGCATTGTCGCTACTCTTTCCAGAAGATCTCAGAATTTGAAAACACTTGCACAAAATAAATAAATAATTACATTTCAAACCTGACAGTGATATGTTTTGGTTATCATTTAAGGTTTTAGATGCCACAAAGCGTTTAGGCTGTGAAGAGATGGAAGGGTACGAGCCTCTCAAAGCTCATCCATTCTTTGAGTCCATCACATGGGAGAATCTGCACCAGCAGACACCTCCAAAACTTACAGCTTACTTGCCAGCCATGTCAGAAGATGATGAAGACTGCTATGGCAACGTAAGCTGGCACCCATGGGGTACAGGCAAAGAGAATTCTGCTTGCCATGCTGTGTGGATATGATTCCTTGGGACCGTAATTTGTGTGACTACTGGTTAAGATGTGTGAGTGAATACTGTGGTGGAATGCTTTGCTCTGATGAGTAAAGGACCAACACATCTTGTGTGCTCTGATTCCTGTTCTTATTTCCTCAGCTGGTGAACTTTTACCTATTTGGGGATGGAAGGAGGCAGGATGTGGTTTGGACTTGTGGATGAGAGACCAGTGCCCTGCCCTAATCTCTCACCTCCTGACACTGGGTTTCCTGGAAGCTCATCATTGACAACTTTTGGCTCAGAGCCTTTTTGATATATATTAATGTTCTGGAATACTTATTTTTTTCAAGAGAACCCAGAATGCTACCGATTTGAATTTCCAGGGATGTGGTCTGGGTGGGTAGACTCCAGTCCCTGCCTGATGCTCAGCAATAGGTACCTGCTCTGTTTCAGGGATACCACCCCCTTGGGTTTATGGACAGTTGATGGCCTCCAAATAATTGACTACAGACTCAAGACCTTAAATATATTTGATTTTTTAAAAGTTTCTGTATAAAAAAATGAGAAACACCAGCAAAAGAGACAGAAATAAGAAACTATAGTTTGCCTCCACAATTTCAGTCTTACCCAGACTCTGCTCCCATTGTGACCTCCATATTTGAAATTTTTTAAACAGTTCATTGATTCAATTTTTCTCATTTGATTTCTGTTTTCTTAATTTATTTTATCTAACCAGTAGCCATTCATGGAGTTCTATTCAATTGACTGAGCAATTCTGACATTTCCCTAAAAGCTTTCCAAAGCAGCCAGGCTTGTGGGGGTTAAGGGGCTGGGTGTTCTCAGCATTGAGAAGGCTGAGACAAGAAGATTGAAAGTTGGAGCTGAAGAGATGGGTCAATGGTTGTCCTTGCATAGGTTGTGAGTTCGATTCTCAGTACCTACATATTGGCTCACAACTGTCTGTAATTCTAGTCCCAGGCAATCTGACACCTTTTCTGGCCTCTGGGAGTACTAGGTACACACATGTATGCATACACACACACACACACACACACACACACACACACACACACACACACACACGTCCTGTATACATAAAATAATAAATGCCAAGATTGAAAGTTCATAGTCAGTCTGGCTACAAAGTTAGGCGCTGTCTCAGAACAAAACAAACATACAAATAAAAAACCCAAACAAAGAGGGTCTTCTAAAGCTAAATTAAAACCATTGCTGTTTTTTTGCCTCTTAGAGATCAAGGAATTCTCTGTCTTTTACTTGCTGTTTGTCATATCGCCATTTTCTCCTAAAATGTGCTTTGTGTCCAGACTTGTAGGGGGTGAAACTCAAGTGCATCTCTGCTGACACTGGCCAATTTCTGCATGTGCCTACTGCAGCGTACTCAGGCCCTGAGCCAGGAAGTCCTTCCCCTGCCCTACTTGCTTCCTAAATGCTCATGAGTGGTGTCCTTTTGGGTCATGTCAGAGAGTGCTGATGGAAACCTTGGGATCCTCTTTACTAAAACTGTCATTCCTGTAGGAGTTAACTAGGACTGGCAGGCAGTCTTTCAGCCTATGTACTCTGTCCATTACCATCACTGCCAAAGGCAGCTGATCTACGAAAGAGCTGTTTAGGCTCCATTATCTTCAATCTTAGCAGTCAGGATCATTTTTTTCATGTGTATTTGTACATGTATATACCCCAGCATCTCTGAAGGCATGCTCTGCATTGTTGAAGACAAGGCTTTTTTTATGGGAAGCTTTGACCTCTACCTGTATAATCTGGCTCTCAATGACAGCAGCTTGGTTTGGTTGGGTGGCTGCTTAGCTCTTCCAGTGTGTTTTAAGGTCTTCATAAGCATCTAGGCATAGAACAGTCTGTGTCAAAGTTCACCTTTAGACAGACTGGGCCTGGGGAATGCTGGGACAGAGGAAGTCTGTTTTGTAGGTATTCCTTTTTCATGACTGGAGCAGCTCAGTGATGTGGAGAAGCTTTTAAATTCAGTGTTGGCCAGAGGAATGTGATTCTGAGCTTCAGTTTCTATGTCAGAAATTGAAGCCACTTTAATGGCTCTAAAAATTTTTGTGGGGACACCCCTCCTCTCAGTAGAAGTATAGTAGTAACTTCTGTAAACTGATACAGGTACATCATTTCCCTCACTGGGAAACCTCTAGGAGCGAAGTAGAGACAGTATTCTAGGGTGTGAATCTGGAATCAGCAAGATGGAGCGGTGACTGCTTGAGTCTGTGGAAACATAAATTCTGCAGAGTGCTGCTGGGCAACAGCAAGGAGGTGGGCATAGGACTTACAGACTTCTGTAGAGTAGTAGCTAGGACTCTTTCTGGAGACTCAGGGTATGGAAGGCAGGACTCAGGAGTGAGAAGCCTGTAGCCAGCATAGCCGGCTGCCCAAGGTGACCATACCTTTACCTATGCTCAAAGATCTTTGGCCCAGTCACTGCCTGGAAGTGTCCTAGACTATGAACTGCCCATGTAGCGTGTTGGGAATAGTCACTTTCTGTGTCAGCACTGGCTTGTATTTTTCTAGAACCATTGCTAAGGTTAAAGAATATTTTAAAAACAAATGTAAGCTAAATCAGTCTATGCAGTGACTCTGGAACCTAAGATCCCAGGACTAAAAGAAATGTGCTCAAGCACTGAGTTTCATGTCAGAAGGTGGCTGCTGTAGAGGTTCCTGCCTTGGGGTACTGTGCTGGGTAAGGGTTCCAGGTTCCTTCTCTCTGGAGATGAAGGATGCAGTGTACCCCTTCTCTGACCCCTGTTTCTATCAGAAGAGAAACCTGTAGCAAGAAGGTCCAGCCTTGCCTTGGTTCAGTGGCCAAATGGCTATTGGAAGAGAATCTGTCTATATACACCTTTGAAGTGTGTGTAAGCTTTCCAGGTTGTGAGCCGCTGTGGGGGCCAGGCAATGTGGGAGGGAGTCTTTGACCTTACAGACAAATTAAGGTACATCTCTCCTTCCATTTTTTCTTGCAGTATGACAATCTCCTGAGTCAGTTTGGCTGCATGCAGGTGTCATCCTCCTCCTCTTCCCACTCCCTATCCGCGGTGGATACCAGCCTGCCCCAGAGGTCGGGCAGCAACATAGAGCAGTACATCCATGATTTGGACACTAACTCTTTTGAACTAGACTTACAGTTTTCAGAAGATGAAAAAAGGTTGTTATTGGAAAAGCAAGCCGGTGGAAACCCTTGGTAAGAACTATAGGCATCAGCACCCCATCTAAAAGTACAGAGTGCATGGAATCAGACATAGGCTGGTTGTTTGTCCTGCCTCACCTCTGCAGTGCTCTTCAGAGGAACATGCTCTCTGAGGTTATTAGGAAACCTCAGAGCTGGGGCTTGAATTAGGTTGTGTTCTTATGTTTTTGCATTTTTTACAAATTGATTTTAAGACTATATATATATATATATCTTTCATATATATATCTATATATCTATATATATATCTATATATATATATATATATATATGAAAGCCATTCTCTGCCAACATTTTTTTCAGCTTACCTCTTAGTCTGTTGGTGGATATTGCTTTATAGTTGAAAATTTTTACGATGTCCATCTAACCTGTTCCTGTTCTAATCTTGTTTTTCTTCCAAGTCTCCTGAAAGGGCTTCAGTATTTTTACCTGGCACCTGCACTCTCTTTTGTTGTTCTTTTTGAGACAAAGTCTTACCTTGGCCTGGAACTGGCAATATAGACCACGCCGGCCCCAAACTGATACAGATACAATACAGATATATTTGCCTCTGCCTCCCAAGTGCTAGGATTAAAGATGTACGCCATATCCCTGACTACCTTTATTTTTTTCTAGTATTTTTATGCTTTTACTTTAAAAATTTATTCTTTGACAGTATACATGGACCTAATATATTTTGAGCATGTCTACTTCCATTACACTTAGGGGTCTCTTTGGTCTCTTTGAGTGCAATGGGAGGAGAAAAATTGAGGGTTTGTTAAGGAAGGAGGGAGAATGCACAAGACTCAGACTTTATGAAGAGGGAGGAGAACCCTTAGTAGCTTTTCCAGTGACATGCAGATGGCTAAGACTAAATTGTCTTGCCATCAAAACTTATTTTCTCTAGAGAAATTAAATATAGATACTGCTCCTAGAAATAATCTACAATTCTGGGAGTTTAAATTTGTCCTTTAACTCCCTGTTCCCTAAGGTAGTATTACTATCAGGAATGTAAAAGAATTTTTGATTTGATTTATTTTTATTTCTCTTTTTATTATTTTTAATTATGTGTATGTATGGGTCTGTGCATGTGAGTGCAGGTACCTGGGGAAGCCAGGGGTGTTGGGTCCCCTAGAGCTGAATGATTGGTAGCTGTGAGCCACTTAATGTGGGTGTGGGAACTAAACTCAGGTCGTTTGGAAGAGCTGTAAATGCTCTTAAAAGCTGAGCCATCTCTCCAGCTCCTTATTTGTTTATTTTTTAATTAACATGGCTTCATTATGGTATTTCTGTATGTACTTTGTTTTTGCTGATTCTTTCTCCCATTCCCTTGCCACCCCCAGGTTTGTACCCCTGTACACCTCTTACTCCCAGTAGTCTCCTTTCCACTTTTACATCACGTGCATTCTTTTTCTTTTCTTTTTGTTTTGTATTTCGAGACAGGGTTTCTCTCTGAAGCTCTGGCTGTCCTGGAACTCTCTCTGTAGATCAGGCTGGCCGTGAACTCACAGAGATCCTCCTGCCTTTGTCTCCTGAGTGAGTGTTGGGATTAAAGTCACGCGCCGCCACACCTGGCTTGTTTTCTTGTTGGTAGCTGTTTGGACTGGGATGAAATAGGACCTCAAAATAGTTTTAATTTACATTTCCCTAGTGGCTAAGGATATTGAACACTTTAAAATGTGTTAGCCATTTGTGGTTCTTCTTTTGAGAACTGTCTGTTTAGTTTCTTAACTATTTATTGACTGGCAGCTTGAGTTATTTTAAGTGTTTATACTTCTTTATATGTTCTAAATATCAATTCCCTATGTGAAGTGTGGCTGGTAATTTTTTTCTTCCATTCTTTAATGTAAGGAGGATTTTTGAGCGGTTCTAGCTACATTTCCCAGCAGGAGCTTGTGTGTATGCTTCCTAGGCTTGTGTGTGCTGAATCTTCAGGTGTCCTGCTTTCTAGAGTCTCAAGCAGGAGCCCTTCCCCTAAGATCCTGGTCAGAAGCTCTGTCTTCATGGGCGTGTGTTTCATCTCTTCTGGGGTCTTCTCCTCTGCCTGGGGCTGTGAGTGCTAGTCAGAACAGGAAGATTACTTGCCCACTTCTTTTGGGTGTGGGATTCTCTATCCTTTCCTTAAGATTTCAGGTCTAGAGCCAGGCTGTAGTGGGGCACCCCTTTAATCCCAGAACTCAGGAGGCAGAGACAGGAGAAATTTTGAGTTTGAGGCCAGCCTGGTCTACAATTAGTTCAGGACCTTCAAGGCTACAGAGAGCATGTCTAGAAAACCAAAACCAAACCAAACAAACAAACAAACAAAAAAAGATTGCAGCTCTATGTGTATAAGCAGAGACTTGCTCATTTGTTTCCTAGCCACCCAGACCTGAATTTTTACACAGAAACTATATTAATTACAACACTGTTTGGCCGATATCTTAAGTGTATTTCTAGCTAGCTCTTACATAATAGCCTATTTCTATTATTCTACATTCTACTATGAGGCTCGTGGTTTGTTACCTCTTGCTTCCTGAGCAGCTACATGGTGTCTGCCTCCTTCAGCAGCTACATGGTGTCTCCTTGACTCTGCCTATTCTCTCTCTGTCTCTGTTCAGATTTCCCACCTGACTTTACTCTGCTAAGTCATTGGCTGAAACAGCTTCTTTATTAACCAATGGTAATAAAACATATTCGTATCATAACATACAGAAGGGAATTCCACATCATGTGGAAAATGATGCCTCTGCAGAGAACTTCATGGATTTACTGTCTTTCAAAATTAATATGTTAATACTAAGATAGTAGTTATCTCTTCTTGCTGTTATTTGCTGCTAGTATGCAGTGGAGTTTTTCATTGACCACATACTAGAGGGTTGGGGACTAGAGAGATGGCTCAGAGGTTAAGAGCACTGCCTGCTCTTCCAAAGGTCCTGAGTTCAATTCCCAGCAACCACATGGTGGCTCACAACCATCTGTAATGATACCTGTAATGATATCATTACAGGCAGAACACTGTATATATAATTAATAAGTACATCTTAAAAAAAAACAAAAAAAAGCCATACTGGAGGATGGACATTATCTTCACAGTATATAGAATGTATGTATATGATATTTTCTGTAGTAGGATTATGGCTTAAAAATTTGAAATTAATATGTTTTATTTCTACTGTATTCTTAATGAGCAATCTTCAGTTATACATGCTATAATTACTTCATGATTTTAATTATCTAGTAAGTCATTACTTTCAAATCCTGATCATTTGCCTATATAGATAGAAATACAAGTAAATTTTGTTGGCCTGTTTTGTGATAGTATTAAAAAATATTAAAAATACTATAAAGTTCTGTAAATTTTGTTTAAAGTAGCTACTTCTGATATTAATACTTTTATAAAGTAAATGAACATTTATAATACAAATGTGAGCATGGATCATTGACTTAAAAGATTTTTTTTTTGTCTTAGCCACGGCAGCACCATTTAAGTCTAAAAAGGTGTAAGGTGGAGATGGCTGAGTCGGTAAAATCCTTGTTGTGCAAGCTTGAGGAGCTGGGTTCAATCCCCAGCAACCTCATAAAGGATTAGATGTGGAAATGCACATCTGCATTGCCAGTGCTGGAGAGGAAGAAATAGTATGATTTCTGATCAACAGCTTGCTAGCCAGCCAAACTAGCCAAATTGATGAATCCTAGGTTTGTTGGAAAGGGCCTGGAGAAATGGCTTAGTGGTTAAGAACATTTGTTGCTATTGTAGAGAACTCAGGTTCAATTCCCAACACCCGTATGGTGTCTCACAACCATCCATAACTTCAGTTCGAGGAGATCCAGTACTCTTTTTCTTACCTTTGCAGGCACCAGGCATGTATGTACTGCACATTTATTTATACATGTAGGCTCATATACATAAAATAAATCTAAAAAAGAAAAAATAAGGTGGAATCTTAGTTTTATAGAAGAAAGCATTTAATAGGGGCTTAGTTTATTATCATCATGGTGGGGAGGAAGCATGACTGCATGAAGGTTTGTGGGACTAGCTGGGAACCTTACATCCTGATCTACAGGCAGAGACAGACAGACAGACAGACAGACAGACAGGGTCAGTTATAGGCTTTTGAAACCTCAAAGCCCACCTTTAGTGACATGCTTCTTCAACAAAGCTACACTTATTAATCCTTTCAGACAGTTTCACTCCTTGGTGACTAATTATTCAAATATATGAGCCTATTGGGCCATTTTCATTCTAACTACCACTGGTGGAGAACTCATACACATAAAATAAAAACTGGAGATCAGTTGAGGGAGACACCTAGTATATATACATATGTGTGTACACACAGAAGATTTGAGTTTTTTGAAGAAGGCATGGTTGCGGGAACTTCAGATCTATGTCATTCTTTCTGGCTCATCACTGTTCACCATCACAGAGGAATAAATTGGTAAGGAGGTTATAGCATAGCAGAGGAACACCATAGAACTAGGCTGGCAGTTCACTGAACTAGAATTAACCTACCCAGCCCAGCATAGAGTCACTGTAGAGAGTTTGTTCCCTATGATATGCAAAGGAGGCATCTCACAGTGAAGAGAACAATTCTGAGAATCACAGAAAGGAAGTATGTTGGGGTGGAAGGTCTACGAGCCGGGAAAATCACAAGTGAAGCACTAGCTGGCACAGTCCTTTTAAGAACATTGAGCAGGTACCTTCCACCATCAGGAAACGAGATTGATATACGATTGCAGATGCCTAAGTCAATTACTTCAACAATTTGTCAGTTTAAAAAGGAGGAGGCACTTGGGATACTACTCAGTATAAAGTAGATCATTTGTAGACACACATGTGAGTGTATGTGTGCACATGCATGTGTGTATGCTAATAGATGCTAATAAACAATTTTTATGTATGTATGTGCATGTACAGTGCCACAAAGCATGTGTGGAAGTCAGGCTTAGAGGTAGCCTTTAATAACTGAGTCATCTGGCTGGTTCAGGCTTGTTTATTTATTTTTAAAGTAAAAATTTTAAAGATTTATTTATTTTATGTATATGTTTCTCTGTGCATACATGCCAGAAGAGGGCATCAGATACCATTATAGATACCTGTGAGCCACTGTGTGGTTGCTGGGAACTGAATTCAGGACTGCTGAAAGAGCTGTCAGTGCTCTTAACTGCTAAGCCATCTCTCCAGCTCCCAGGTTTATTACTTTTAATTAAATATTTGAAGCTGGGAATGGTGATACATGTCTGTAATCCCTGCATATAGAAGGCAGAGGCAAGAGGGTTGAGGCCAGCCAGCTCTATGAAAGTTCCAGGCAAAGTAAAGCAGATGGATAAGTACTTGAAAGCAGGTGTTGAAATTTTCTGGACTGTGGATTGAGGCTATAGTCGAGAGAGAGTAATGCTAATGGGGCTTCCTTGACTGTTGGAGTGGAGTGTAAAGTTGATGTGATCTGGGCTGGAGAGATGGCTCAGTGGCTAAGAGCACTGGCTGCTCTTGCAGAGTACACAGGTTCAGTTTCTAACAGTGGTGGTTTGCAACCATACATAACTAATTCCAGGAGATTCCATATCTTTTCTGGCCGTCATTGGCACCAAGTACGCAGGTCATGCACACACATACCTGCTACATATATACAGACAGACAGACAAAACACTGATAAAACAAACAAGTCTAAGAAAAAGTAAAATAAGATAAAATGAGGCCTGAAGGCTAGATTGCTGACATTTGAAACAGATTAGTGCCTGCTGTCCAGCACCACAGGTGTACTTACCCAAGTACAACCAGCTCTGTGGAGACACCTCAGGTGTCAGGGGCTACTCCCAGTTCTACAGCTGTACTGTGCTCTCCAACAAACAGTGAAGCTGTTTGGGGCCTTAGGCTCAGGTCCTGGAGATAGTCTTGGGGTCTGTACAGATAGCAGAGGAGAGAACCAGGCTTTGGAGTTTTGCATTGCTATCATTGTGACTTGACCATGGGTGAAACATAAACCCCTCAGCCTCTGTGTCTTCATATCTTTGGCACCAGTGACAGAATTTGCCTATTTTGGAAGAGCCACATTGCTATGTGTGAATGGAAAACCAGGAACTGAGTAGTTCTGTGGCTCTACTTCAGGTGTAGTTTTAGCTATGAATCTTCCAGGGAGAAAGGTGCTTAAGGTGTGCCTGGAGCTTTGGAGTGGGGATTAACATTGCAGTAAAGAGTCAGGGCTAAAGAGATGGCTCAGCCATTAAGAAGACCAGGGTTTGATTCCCAGCACCCAAATGACAGCTCACAACTATCTGTAACTCCAGTTCCTGTAGATCCATCACCCCCTTCTGGCCTCCACAGGCACAGACTTACATACAGACAAAACATCAGGCACATAATCCACCACCACACACAGGGTTTCCCTGTTTAACAGCCATGGCCGTCTTGGAACTTGCTTTTTTGACCAGGCTGGACTCAAACTCACAGAGATCTGCCTCCTGAGTTCTGGGATTAAAGACTTGTGCCCCCCCACACACACCCTGGCCTTTAATTTTTTTATAAAGTCCAGATGAGTCTTTGAAGTAATCTTTTCAAAGTATATGACTCAGTGATAGAATGCTTGCCTTAGATTCTACCTCCACTACCACCAAAAAGAAGAAAGAAAGAAAAAAAGAAAGAGAAAGAAAGCAGGCTGATAAATAAGCAGTAACTAACCTGTTGAAAGTGACTGATTAAGTAGTGGGTTGTGCTATTGCTGTTGCTAATGGAGCTTCCTTGGCCTTTGATTTCTGTGCCTCTGAATCCTGGGATGTAGGCAAGTGACCCCCCCATACACACACACACACACACACACACACACACACACACACACACACACACACACACAGAGACTTATAGGATGTTGGGATGTGAATACATTCTCTGTGCAGAGTGAACAAGGGGCAGGCTGATGCTTGTCTATAGGAGCATGTTTGCTTTCTATGTTTTTTGCTCTTCCTCCAATAATTTAATTAGTAGGTCTTTCCTATCTTGTAAGTCTTTGCTTATGTTAAAATATTGCAGGGTCTGCTTATTAGGTGAACATTCTGGCAGGCCCTGCAGTGTTACCTGCACATCTTAGTGCCTCATTCCTTCTGCTAATGTTCTTTTCAGAATCAGCCCTTTCCTGCTGTGTTTTGATTGGTTAGTTGGGTGTTTGGTTAGTAAAACCTCTCGGAGACTGTTTTTGTTTTGTTTTTTTTCACTTTTTCTGTGGATCACTGCTCTGTCCTTTTCAGAATCTTAGTTGTTCTCCAAGTCTACACAGTACTGTATTGTGTGTGACTTGAGACCAAGATTTTGGTTGTGCAGCATACCTTGAAAGGGCAGTCTGGTTGGTTTTGTATGGGTCAGGTAGTGAGGCCTCGAAGTGCTCTGGCTCCTCAGGGAGGTTTCAGAGTATCTACATGATTGACTTAGACAATTTTCAGATAGAAATGTGTTTTTGTTTTGTATTTATAGTAGAAGTGGCATCAGACAGGGCATAGGACTGAACTGTAGCTCAGGCGGGAAGAGTGCTTACCTGGATACACAAAGCAATGGGTTCTGTCATAGTATCGCCAAAAAAAAAAAAAAAGGTGGGGGCGGACCATGAGAGGTATTTTAAAGGTAGTTTTAACCCCAATAAAATAATATTAGATGTTAAACCATCTTTGACTCTGAGGAGACAGAAGTACACATGCTGCTCATGTCGTAAGTCAAGCTAAATTCTTTAAGAAAATTGTTTAGGGGCTAGAGAGATGGCTCAGAGGTTAAGAACACTGGCTGTTCTTCCAGAGGTCCTGAGTTCAATTCTCGGAACCCACATGGTGGCTCACAACCATCTGTAATGAGATCTGGCACCCTCTTGGCATGCAGGCAGAACACTGAATAAATAATAAATAAATCTTCGAAAAAATGTTTTAGCATTATCTATTTATTGTTTGTACACATGGATGTCAGAGGACAACTTGGAAGAGTTACTTTTCTCCTTCCAAATGTTCATACTGTAGTATACGTGTAATAGTCCTAGGATAGCTTAAGGGAGTTAGCTTTTTCCTTCTACCATGTCCTTCCCAGGGATTGAACTTGGTCATTAGGTGCCTTTACTCGCAGAACCTCAGAACAGTTTTTTTTTAATTAATAAACTTTATTTATTCTATGTGTTTTTCACATCATGTATCTTGATCCTATTCAATTCCTGTCCCTTCACATCTGCCTTTACCCTGCACCCCCCCAACAATGAGGGGAAAAATGAAGAATATAAAATGAGAAGATTTTTTTTAAAAAAAAAAAGGTAAGAAATTAAAAGTCTCAACAGAGAAGCTGCACTGTGACCCCATGAGTCATACAGCGACCCAGCAAGTCATGCCATATATTCCTTGGTCCATATATCTCTGTTTGCAAAGAGTCACGGGTCTGGTTTGAGGCCCTTGGTCAGACCAAATTCTGGGCATATTTGAATAATTTTTTTATCAATATGGTGAAAATATTGGAAAAAGCCCCACTCCATCACCATCTTGGGAATTGAAAACCCAGGGCCTTAGCATCTGGTGCATGTTAAATACCCCCTATACCACTAAGCAATACACCTCAACTCAGAAAAGAAAATCTGAAGCTTTTTTTTTTTTTTTTTTTAAGAATTTGTGCTTCTCCAGAACTCTGGACTCTAGGCACTGTTAGGTGTCCTTATTTGGGAAGTATTTTATAGATTCTAATATTGATTTGCAGTGGCATCCAAATCTCTGTGAGATCTGCCTGCCTTTGTCTCTCAAGTGCTAGGATTAAAGTTGTGCACTACCACACCCAGCCCCACTGCAACATTTTAAAATGAGGATGTTAATTAGGATGATGTTGATGCTATGTGTTACCTTGTGTCTGTGGCGTTCTCTCCCAACCTTCCTCTACTATGCAGATATTTCCAACTTGAAGATGACTCTAGGAATGTAGATTCTGGACCATATGTACAGATAAAATCTGCACACATGGCATTACGCATCTGGAGTATCTCCTGAAAAGAGGCTGCAACTGTGTGGTGGAGTCGGGGGGCAAACTTGACTGATAAAAAGTCTACAGAGGCCCTGTGGAATTTATCCGAAGGACAGTGTTTGGAGAGCTGCTGTCTCATTCTTATTTCTTTCTTTTTTAGGCACCAGTTTGTAGAAAATAATCTAATATTAAAAATGGGCCCAGTGGATAAGCGAAAGGTGAGTCAAGTCCCTGATGTTCTTCATCCTGTGATTTCCTATTGCTTCAGATCAGATCAGTTCTTCATCTTGGGGTCCTGCCATGGATATGGCACTTTGGCCTGATCTTTAGAGATCATCTCTAGATTTTATAGCTGGGAACACTCAGGCTCTCAGGGAAGCAATGTGGGCGTTTGGAAAACCAGCCTTATGCTCTAGTCCCAGGGCATGATTTCTCATGGTTGCACAACACTCATCTCACTATGCTAAGGTTTCTGTCACATTGAAAAGGAGGTATCATTTCTGAGAACTCAGCAGGTAGTCTTTCATTAGAAGATTTGGAAATACAGGAGTTGTTGTTTATTAAGCTTATTTGTTTATTCATTTTTGAAACAGGGTCTCACTATGTTGCCCTGGCTGTTCTGGATCTGGTTCTGTAGACTAGACTGGCCTCGAACTCACAGAGATCTGCCTGCCTCTGTCTCCTGAGTCCTGGAATTAAAGGTGTGGGCCACCACTGTCTTGCTATTTATTACATTTTATGGACTACAGATAGTGCAGAATGTATCAGACTCTGCAAACAGGGACTTCCTAATACCCTTATTGCCTGTGTATACTCTGGAAGTGAGAATCTCCATGAAGGTGGGCTGAGGCCTGGCCTGCCAAGGGCGGACTCTGTGCCTGAGAGAAGCTGAATGACCAGGGGAAACTACAAGCTATCCATCGATGGGCATATTGTGTGCTAACCAGAAGAGACCTGTTCTTATGTTTTCTTGATGTAAGATGCTGGGCTTAGGTTGAGGAGGAGGTGTCTTAGGTGAATAGATAGCTGGCAGTCACTGTGCTCTGCGCTACTTATAAGTTAGTCCCTTCTGTGCCTTGATCAAACAGTTTGTTTATTTATTTGTACCAGGGTTTATTTGCAAGACGACGGCAGTTATTACTCACGGAAGGGCCACATTTATATTATGTTGATCCTGTCAACAAAGTCTTGAAAGGTGAAATTCCATGGTCACAAGAACTCCGACCAGAGGCCAAGAATTTTAAAACTTTTTTTGTCCACACGGTAAGTCTCTCCCTATAACGCCTCTGATTGTAGTGTCACCACAGCCTTCTGCGTCTCTGTTGGAAGTGTCCCTTGCTTTGGCCAAGGAAGTATCTAGGGTCATGTCAACTTCCTGTGTCTCAGAGACCTGTATGAACAACTTAGGCCTGAAATGGGCTAGGAGATACTCTGTTTTGATTTTTGCTTTTGGAAGGTCACCTACCCATGTACTTAGTTTCTGTACTTGTAGAAAGAAGAAGCCCACTGTGCCCACAGGCTTTCAAATGGTGCTGACAGCAAGATAGGCTGGGTGGGGATGGGACTCCCTGGAGGACATCAGATGCTCTGTCTTTGCAGCCTAACAGGACGTATTACCTGATGGATCCAAGCGGGAATGCTCACAAGTGGTGCAGAAAGATCCAGGAGGTTTGGAGGCAGCGGTACCAGAGCCATCCAGATGCTGCTGTACAGTGACGCGGCCTGCGGCCGGGCTGCCTATCGCTGCCAGGACACCTGCCCCAGCGCGGCTCGGCCGCCACCCAGGACGCTTCCAGACCACCTGCCAGCCATCTCAAGGAGAACATGGATGGTGGAAACCTTGCAGCTTTTTTATTTAAAAGAAAAGAAAAAAAGAACCCAGCCACACAAAGAACAAAACAAATAACCAACAAACAGGAATTCAGGGTCGCTTTGCTTGCTCTCTGTGCTTTGTGGTGGCTTCCATGTGCTGCTGTGGCCATGGAGACCCAGCTTCTTGCACGGTAGCTCAGCTTCTGCCCAGACCAGTGACCAGATTTGGCATCACCAGCCCCTCCTAGCATCCACAAGAACTGCATGCCTGCTTCTACCCTTCCCCACCTGATAAACACAGCTCCTGCTGTAACTGAGGGACCGGGCGTATCTGGCTCTCCTTCACCAGAGAGCCTCTTAACTCTGCTGGGTTGATCACCAGCTCACTGTGGGTACAGGGCTCTTAGCTTGTGTGTGTACCTCCTTCCTTGAGTCCCTTATGTGGCCCTAGAGATGTAGTCAGGTATGTTTCTGATGACAGCGTTTCTGTGGTTCCTGCCCTACCGTAGGCAGGCTGATGGTGAGAAGTATGCAGGCTGCTGTAGTACAGTCTGCTCTCATTGGGCTCTGCTCCAGCATTCCACTTCCTAGCAGTTCATCCAGGGAATGAGACACCAAGCATGTGTCCAGCAGGGGTGCTGTCATACTGGCACCTAGATAACACCAACTAGATCACTATCGGGTACAGAATCCTGTCCTGACCTGGACAAGACTGGAGCTCCCATGTGGAGGAGTGGTGTCCAAGCCTTCCTGGGAGTTTCTGCATAGGTTTAAATGTGAGACATAAATGTGCATGCTCTGTGAGACAGGGACTGAGAAAATCCCGGGTTGTGTGCCAATCTCCTGCCCAGTCTCACATGCACCTGTTGGTGCTGTGGGTAGACACTTCTCAGCTAGCTCAGTTTTTATATCTCTGTTGAAAATCTGAAAGCCTTTTCATGTTGCTTGGTCACTTGGCACCATAAAGCATGGACCTTTCCTGAAAAGAACGTTACCACTGTCTAGCTCACAGGGACAGCCACCTAAGCCTGAGCCTGCCTGTGCCGGTGTTCTTTGCCAGTATTGGGGAGACTACCCTGATGCTAAGCTGACAGTGTTTTGTTTTGTGATACAAATGGCCTGGACTATTTCAGTACACTTGCAGAGTGCTTCTGAGGGACTTGGCTGTACCTCTCTCTGACTAGGATGTCCCTAATGGGTCTAGGATGTCCCTTGGTCTCTAGTAGGGAAAAGTAGGCACCTGCTTTCATAGACTGCTCACAGGAACACCTCTGACTCCTATGTTGCAAAGGCAGCAACAATTTTGCCATTTATATAAACTTTCACAAAGGCACTCCAGAAATGCCCACACAGCAATTACCCCTGTCCACAGTGACCACCTATGGGCCAGGTTACCCAAACTGAGAGGGGAAAGATTCTGTTCCCAAGCTTTTTAACAATAAGAGTGGTTCTTTCAAACTGGGTGGAGTGTAGATGAAAAGCTCACCATCATGCCTTGGCAGGGGTGCTGGATGGGAGCAGACTTTGTTATATTGTATGATAAGAGCTTTAGGTGACCAAGGAGCAGGTGTGGTCCTGACACCTCGCACCCAGGGAACAGATAGCTTAGCATACGATCAGCCTGTGAGTGAAAGTAGACACTCTTTTTCCTTGTTTTTGAAGAACCATGTTAGCTAAACTAACATGTCTCCTAAGAGTTCTGTTCTTGTTCATGCCTTGTGGCTATTTAGCCCTCAGTATCCTGTACCCTGTGTTTGCATGTATAAGAGTGGCTTCCTGGTTGTCACATGCATGCAGATACAGGGAGAGGCATCTCTGAGGACATTTAACTACAGGGGACCATGTGGGACTGAGGTGTGGCTTAAGTTAGAACACCTGGCTGGCTTATGGGAGAGTCCTCTGTTGCTTTCTCCCCTGGAGAGCAACACTACCTCCTGGGCTTTACCAAGTGCCATCCTAACCTCCAAAATTAGGGTTTAGCTGAACTGGTAGTGGGTGGCCATGATGACTGCCCTATGCTACAATAGCTGAGCTCTTCCCAGGTCACCTTTATATCCTTACTGCCCCCTTTTCCTTGATTTTTTTTTCCCTTTAAGAACCATGCATTCTTTTCTTACCCTGACTTATATCACTTTTAGTTTTTTCCAGTCATCCTTAGAGCCGTCACCCAGTGTGCAGGTGCCTTACACTGTAGGACAGGATGTGGGTGTCAGTTTGTATAATTTTGTGTGTGTGTGTGTGTGTGTGTGTGTGTGTGTATAAAAGCAAATGGGGGAATCTATCTAAGGAGAGAAAGAAATGTCTCATTAGGAGCTCCAGAAGTCGTGTGTCCTAAGAATGGTAAGGATGAATAGAAAGTTCAAGACTGTCCTCTGGCTTCTCACAGTGGACTGTACCTCACTGCCCACTAGCCATGCCTTTTCTTGGTGTCACAAATGAAGTTGAGCTTGATTAGGTCATTTCTACCTGTTTTTCTGTGCTCCAGCTGGGTAGTGGATATATCCATGTAGCTAAACTCTAACCTAGTAGATGCAGTAAAATACCACTTTGAGAAAGATGACTTGTGTTAGGCTGGTAGAAACTGCACCTGCTGCTCTTTGGGCTAAAAACCTTAGTGTTGTGATCCAAGCTTGAAGTAACTTTGCAGATAGCCAAGTGTGGCACAGACTCCTAGTGCCAGCAACGGGGCCGTAGGTTGTTGTGGCTTTCTTAAAAGTAATGTGTTTTCTGAAAGTAAAAGAAAAAAAAAAAAAGAAAGGCCCATTATTCAGAGACCACTGTGAGCATTTTGATTTAGATCCTGCTTTTCCCTCCCCAACTTTTTGTTGTTGTTGTCATTGTTGTCCCAGTGCTGGGAATCAAATCAGGGCCCTCAGAAGTGCTAAGCAAGTCCTCTACCACTGAGCTATACCCTTAGCCCATGTTTGCTTTTTAAACCAAACTGGGAACACACGACACACATCATTTTGCATCCAGCCTTTTCACTTGACATTTTTCCATTAAGCATTTCTCTATACCACGAGCAGTTCTTCAGAAGCATGTTTTTAATAATTGTGGACTCAAATGGTTGATTTATAAGTTATCCAACTGTCTCCCTGTTGTAAAACATTCAGATCCTTTTGGGTTTTTTGTTGTTTGTTTTTTGCTATTTAATGTTTGTTTTTGCTAATTAATAATGCTGTGGTGAATATACTTATGTCTTTGATTTTTACTCTGATTTTTTTCTCTCATATGTCTGCAAGTGGTATTTTTGGGTCAAAGAATTTGTTCATTTCATAGCTGTTCCTCCTCTTTGGTCTGTTTAGATGCTCTGAGTTCCAGTAATAAACCCTCCTTCCTCATGTCCTACAGATTTTGATCACATCAGTTCCTGCTAAGCTGTGTATTCCCAAGAAAGTTTGACTATGACTGCTCTTTTTTTTTTAATGCTAAAATGTCATTAGTGCAGATCCATTTGTGACAAAATTTTCCAAAAGCCCAGTTTCTTCATTTTCATTGCAAGAATCTGGTCATGCATGTTACTTCTCTTCCATCATTGCTGCTATGGCTTCCAAGAGCTTGGTGATGTTTTCAGAATCCTGTACTTTGTGTCCACAATGGTACTGAATCAGCTTCTGCACAGTCAGCAGAGATAAAGTGTTGAACTGACCTTGCCACATTCTTAATGGGTAATTCGTAATTACGTTTATAGACTCAGACAGTGCATTTGGCCATTTTGGGATCAGTAGCAAAGCAGAGCAGCAAAGCTCTAATTGAAAAAGAAACCATGTAGATGATTGGCGTTTATAAATGTACAGTTGTGAGTGTCCTTGCCCCACCCCTCCCCCACTCAGATTAGCAGTTCGGGAGAGTGCAGTGGCCAGACCTTCTCATTGCAGAGGATGGGTATTCCAGCTGATGCTTACGTAAACCTTCCTGTGTGCTGCAGGTAATTATGGTCTTTGAATAAAGCCCACACACCCAAATTGGATTGTATCTGTGTTGTGTGGGGCCTCTACTTGGAAACATGAAGTAGAGATTTACTGGCCACCATACTCAGTGTTACCTGATTCTACCAGAGCATAGGGCTCGAGATGTGTGAAAATCAGTTCCCTGCTTTCTCATGCCTCAAGGCTTCTCCCTACTGCTCCATAGACTCAGGGTGCTTATAGCTGAGACTTGGGAGGCTGTAGCAACTCATGAGTATGGTGAAGATACCATGTTCCTGGAGATGTTGCAGTACACCTTTTCCATTTTGTATTGTTTTTGTTTTTGTTTTTCATTGCAGAACCCAACATAAACTGACTCCAGTGGGGGTAGCACCTCTTAGGTGCAATGTATGACAAGGGCCCTGGCATATTAGATGGGACTGAGACCACTCTCAGAGCCTCTGAAGATAACTGGCTTCTGGCCTAACACTTAAGGGTTATAATTCAGAATGGTTGTGGAAAAGTGGCCTAGGAAGGAAGCTGTTTCTGTCAAAGCACCTATGCAGTGGTAAGCAAATGAATTAACCAATGTGAATACCTGGAAATTCCCTGTATCTGAATGAAGAATTCAAACTGTACAGAAGGTTTTACAAAAGGCAAATTTCCCCCTCCTCATGTAGTCCAGCCTAGTTTAATCATCTGGGTTAGTGACTACAAGTGAGTCATTGTGCCGGTAAAAGCCTCCATTATGACCATTGTTTGATTGGACATTGGCAAATTAAACTGTTAACAGTATTTAGAGCTGCTGCGGCTGTCTCATAGCCACGTACAGTAGGATGAATCAGTAGTCTACTGCTGTCGTTCAGGTTGGTGACAGTCAGTTAGAACATGTGTAATATTCTCTACCTGGTCTGTAGCTGTAACTGTGATGTACAGGCAAAGCAAAAATTAAAAATACTTATGAAAACAGATAATGCAATGATACTAGGATATACACTTTTGTATTTTTATTCTTATATAAGGTTATTTGCTGGCTATTGTCGGCCTCTAGTTCAGTCTGTTATTTAAATTCTAATATATGAATTATTTGGATTGAATTCATGTTTGGGGCCACGTTGTTGTATGTATTGATGTACAGCCTTGAATGTGAATAATTATTGTAAACTATATTTTACAACTTTTTCCTGGCTTTATTATATAAATTTTCTATTTGGTCATGGTTTAATCATATAATTTAATGAAACAATTTTTTTCTTTTTTTTTCAAATATCTGTGCTTTAGATGTAATTACCGGATGATGGATTTCCCTCGTATGCTCGGTAGTCTTGTAATAAAAGCATGTAGAGTGTATATGTTCGACGTCCTGGCTCCTCTTTTGGCTGGGGTTGGGGCGGAGCCAGTGCCGAACCCCAGGAACCCTTAGAAAATACGAGGCTCGCTCTGACCGGAAGTGGTTGTCGCCGGCCTGCTTTTCGAGCCGGAACTTCCGTCTTGCGCATCATGCCTGGGCGGGCACTTTACTGGGGTGGACCTATGGGCGGGACAACTCGGAGGACTGTATTAAAGAACGCTTCCGGAGAAGGGGCTCTGTGGCGGGGCTTGTTGGGATCATGGCGGAGAATCACTGCGAGCTGCTGCCACCGGCTCCGAGCGGCCTCGGGGCGGGGCTGGGGGGTGGCCTGTGCCGCCGCTGCAACGCTGGGCTCGGTGCCCTGGCACACCGCCCCAGTGGCGTATCCAAGTGGGTCCGGCTTAATGTCGGCGGCACCTACTTCCTCACCACCCGACAGACGCTGTGCCGAGACCCGAAGTCTTTCCTGTACCGTTTGTGCCAGGCGGACCCCGACCTAGACTCTGACAAGGTGAGGGCCTCGTGGGTCAGCGGGGGGCAGGCCGCCCTCGTCGCCTTCCGCGGCACACACCTCCACACCGAGGGCACTCAGCGGAGCGGGCACTCTGAGCCCAGCGTCCTGGGCCGGAGAGAGGATGGCACTCTCGTGCCCATCTGCCTCAGCCCTCAGATTAACAGTGCTTCTCTCCCTCGCCTCATCTTTCATGCTCTTCGGTCGAGAAGGAACCGGCTTTACAGTGGTTCTAGTTTCTTTCCTTCTCCCTAGATTCTTTTGCCCAGGGTGTGTGAACACCACCGCCCCAGCTATTTGCTGGCTTTGGAACCTGAGAACCCTTTGCATTCATCTGGTCTTTTCACATTCCAGACGTTTAAATTAACGTAGGCCATGGGAGTTGACACAGTGGCTGCCTTTTTCCCAGTGACTTGCAGAGTTTGTGCTACATCCTTCTCCTCCTTCTCATCCATAATATGAAGGGGCTCTGAAGCTCTAAGAAGGTACCGCCTGAGTGAAAATGGTCCCAAGTGTCATTTTACTTTCAATATATGAATTATGTGTATCATGTTCGGGGCCAGATGTAGAAAAATCTTAGGATTGACTAAGAGAGACAAGGTATAGAATCCTTTTCGATCTGCTTTCCAAACTTGGTTTCCCCACTGCCTTTCTTTGCAATAGGGTAGGAATTTTCCAGGTTAGTTTGTAGTTTATCTTATGTCTAATTAAATACTAATACTGTTATACCTGTGGTAATGGAAAATATTTCGATTATAAGAGTTGTGTGAAATAGTACATAACTGATATCTCAGAACTGTGCAGTATTGAAACTTAGAAAAAAAAAATAGTTTCTCCGTTTTCCCCATAGGCAGTTTATGAGCCTTATACCAACTTTGTGAGTTTTCTGGTTGAGTCTACATGATAGCACTTGACTTTGTGCCTTGCTAGCCTGGAAGCTGCTGCTCAGGAGCCTTTTACAGAAAGGTTAGGAGCCCATTTCACTTCAAAAGGCCTGACAGAACATCTCAGTGTGGTCGGCGTTATAACCAGGAAGTAAGAATTGAGTCGCTGCAGAATAACCAAGAAATTAGGGTTTGAGATAATAGAGTGTTAGTCCCTCACAACCCTTCTCCCAGCTGTCCCCATTTCTTAATCAAATCTTTTTACTTCTAGAGAACTGACCTTCCAGAAAATGACCAAAGTCTCCAGGATATAAAGAGGCTTTTGCCAACTGGGTTTTCTTTTTATAGTGAGAGTGTATGTTTTACAAACAGTTTTCCAAACAGTTTCCAAACTGTGAGTGTTTATAACCATTCTTGTTTTTAGTACTCAAACATTCCTGCCTTGTCTATTAAATCCGATTTTAAATCAGCCTTATCCATTGGCTTTTAGTGTCTGCTTAATTTCAGCACTGGAACAATGACTTTAGAGCTGTTTCAGTTTAGCATAGTTAAAGTCAAATCGATGTCTTCATTTTACTGACTCTTAAGATTACTTTATAAACGACTCTTTATTGTGCTGGTGATATGGCACCTGCTGCCAAGCCCGACAACTTGAGTTGAGTCTCTGGTATCCACATGGTGGAAAGAACTGACTCTTGAAAGTTGTACTTTGAACCGGGCAGTGGTGTCGCACACCTTTCATCCCAGAACTGGAGAAGCAGAGGCAGGCTGTCTAGAACAGCCAGGGCTATACAGAGAGACCCTATCTCAAATTAACCAAAAGAAAAAAAAAAAACTGCTGGAAAGATGGTTCAGCAATTAGAAGTCTTGGCTGCTCTTCCAGAGGACCTGGGTTTAATTCCCAGTACCCACATGGCAACTCACAACTGTCTGTAACTCCAGTTTTAAGAGATCTGACACACCCAACAGATATATATGCAAGCAAAACACCAATGCACATAAAATAAAAGCAAGTCATTAATTTTTTTTAAAAGTTCTATTCTGACCTCTAAATACACATTATGGTACTTATGTGCCCACACACATACACACATAAATAAATAAATAAATTAAATAAATAAATATAGATGTGTGTTTGTATTTTCTTTACTGCAATGGGAGATTCTCTATTAGATTATGTTTTAGTTGATTTTTTAAAATTTATTATTTTAGTGCTACAGAGTTTGGCCCAGTGGTTAGGAACACTCATTGCTCTTACAGAGAATCCAGATTGGGTTCCCAGAACCCCTCATGTGACTCACAGCCATCTCGAACTCCAGTTCTAGGGAATTTGACACCCTTTTTTGACTCCTTTGGATACCAGGCATACATATGGTGCACATATATATGTACATGCTAGCACTCACACACTTAATATGAAATGAATCTAAGCTTTATTTGTCTTAAATTACATTCGATTTCTAAAACTTAAAAGCACAATTCAGAACATAGAAGTAGTATAGCAGTACCCAGGCGTGACAGAAAACCGCTGTAATCCCAGCACTGTGGGGCAAAGTAGAAGAATTGGGAGTTTGAGGTCAACCTCAGTTACATAATGAGTTGAGGCTAACCTAGGCTACAAGGACCCTATCTCCAGAAAAATAGAGCAGCTGTAAACTTGGTACCATGGTCGATAGTGTTTTAGTCATAAGTTTCTAGAAAGAGTAATTCTAATTCGCATTAGTCATGTATGTTATTAGAGTATTCAAATAAGAAAACCTATAAATGTTCTGTGTTCTCTGTACCCCCTCTACCGGGTTCTGACGAAAGAGTCTCCCAAGAGATTCCACTTTAATTAAATCCTAAGGAGGAGGTTAGAAAGGAGGGGTGTTAACAGATGGAGGCCATTAATTACATGAGGGAAGATAAACAGGATGTTGATTCACATGGAAAGATCTCAAAGCTCTGACCTCATAGTTAAGATCAAGGAAAGAATACCTGGCAGATACTCCTAGAGTTGAACTTTAACAGGGACCTGGTGGAAGGTTCCCTTTCTGGTATTTATTTGACTGGTGGTTTTTTGTTTTTTGTTTTGGTTTGGTTTGGTTTGGTTTTTCAAAACAGGGTTTCTCTGTAGTTTTGGAGTCTACCCTGGAATTAGCTCCTGTAGCCCAGGCTGGCCTCAAGCAGAGATCTGCCTGCCTCTGCCTCCCGAGTGCTGGGATTAAAGGCGTGTGCCACCACTGCACGGCTTTGACTGGTGTTTATTGCGTGCTTAACTTTGAAAAATGTGATGCTCAGATGGGATTTGAGTTAGGAAATTTAAGGGAAGATGTTCCCAAGAAACCTTCCAGGAACCTTCTGGGTTTCACAGGGAGAACACCAAAGACAGACTGTTGTCTGGGGTACCAGGGCTGTGAATTACTACAGGGAAGTAAGTTTCCAGAAGACACTTTCCAAAGTTGTTGACGGACAGACTGCTAGGGATAATAGAGAATGCAAACCCTCACGGCTTGCTTGACTGTCCTCTCAACCTCATATCCAATCTTCTGGGCTATACCTGTCCCCCATGTCCTCAAAGCCCAGGGTGGGACTTAACTATCCACCATCTATGTATCCCTGGACCTTTGACCTCTTATTTCATGGGCCAACTTTGAACCCACTGCTGCCATGCCATGGGATTTCTTTTTCTAGACAGCCTGAGTGAGTTCTCACTTCCTCTTGGGACATCCTCCTGCGGGACTATGGCTGTGTTGTGAACTTGAGCATCTGCCATTGTGTGTCATTTTCTCTCCAGTGTTGTCTTTGGGGGCCGGCCAGGCTCGAGACTTCTAAGATGCCCATGGAAAGCACTTTGCAAAGGCTTGATATTTGATCCATTTTGATTATGTTTCAACATCCCATAGCATGCTGAAACAGTTGTTGTGTGTCGCTCATCTGGCCTCTGACTTAGTGTGACCATGCTTCAGGAGGAAAAGGGAAACGGCACATACTGTGTGATCAGAAGCTATCCTGAACTAGAATGTTCTCTCTCTGTCTGAGCTGAATCTAGCACATGAACTTCTGCCCTTGGAACAGGGCTACTGTCCCAGCTTTGAGGTTGTACATATAGTTACACCAGATAGGTCTTTGGAAATAACGTTTGCTACAACCAGGCCTCTATACAGTTCTCTGTATCCGCTTTGGGTGCGGTTGGTGCTAGTGAATTTTAGGGTTAGAGAGATAGCCAGGGGATGGGATGTAAGCATCTTTGAATTAGTTGCTTGGCAAGAGAAGTGGGGATTATTTAAGGGTATAAATGGCAGATTTTGTTCTGTGTAACTAAATCAGAGGAACTAGCCACGAGTGTCCTGCATGCTGGGCAGAGTTGCATTGGCCACAGGCTGTGAGTGGGCATGGGAGGCATGGGTGTGTTTTACTCCTACAATGCTTTACAGATGTGGCTCAGTGTATTCTTGGCCCCGATGGTGCATCTTGGTGTTGGGCTCTTGCCCCTTTTACAGTGGATGCTTGTTCTCACTGTCTGGTCTCCTCTGTCAGTGTGCCTCATTCAGAAGCCCCTTGGTCCTGAGCAGGTCAAGTGGGCTTATCATTGCATGAGGAGTTGGATCTTTCTGAAGAGAAC